TAGTTCCCAGAACCCATGCCAGGCAGTGCATAAGCACCTGTAACTCCAGTGTCTAGGTATCTAACACTCTCTTGGCTCCATAAGCATTGCACTCATGTCCACAAACTCATACACAGACACACTGACACACACACCTATTTTCAAAAATTCAAACATAGGGGCGGAAAGATAACTCCATGAGTAAGAGCACTTTGCTGAGCAAGTGTGAGGACCTGAGCTTGGGTCCCCACTGTCAATGTAAAAAGTCAGGTATGCTTGTAAGCACCTGTAATCCTGAACTGGGGGGACAGAGACAAATGAATCCTGAGAGTTCACTGGCCAACCATGGTGATGAACTGTATCACTGAGAAACACTGTCTCAAAGCAATAAGATGGGGAACAGAGAGCAAGACACCCAGTGTCTTTCTCTGGCCTCTGCATGCCTATACTCAGGTATATATAATATATTATATATATATATAAAATACTTGTACAGTTGCGTGATTACATTACACACACACACACACATATACCACACACACATACACATACACACAGACACACCACACACGCATACAAATATACCACACACACACACACACACACACACACACACACACACACACACACACACAATCATACAAGCACAATGCACACAAATAAATTTAAATAAATAAATAAATCTTTAAAAAAATATGACCTTAAACTGAGCATGCTCAGGAATGGGTCCCAGCTGTATGTGAATATGCTCAGTGCCCCCAGAATAAGATCCCCAGTTTCCTCTATTGGAGGAGGGCATTGCTTTGAATGACTCCTGGGCTCTCTAGACCTGCTGCAAGTGGCAACTCTCCATTCTCTATCTTGGCCAAGCTTTTTTTTTTGGTTTAATACTCCCCAAGATGCAATCCCATTGTGTTCTATTCCATAAATGAACCCTGTCAGGGTCCCAGGGAGCAGGCACAGCTTGAGGAAATGGCAGTGTGAACATTGTTGCACCAGACCACTAATGCAGCCTCAGCACCAAGGATGCAGCAAGCAGAGTGGGGCCTGGGTCTTTCTGGAGGACTATCCTCCCCACCCTCCCCCTGCAACCCCTGAGTTGTTGCCTGGCAGAAACATGGGCTCAATGTGGACAAATTCTAATTTTTTTCATTTTTATGTCTTAATCTTTAAAAACACTGCCCTGGCCAACTTTGTGCTGACCAAACAAAACAGATGTGTACTTGAGCCAGATGTGACCTTCTGAGAGCACTGTCTGAGCAGAAGACAAAAGGAAGAGAGGTCCCTGGAGCACAGCATGAGAAACCCCAAGCGTGGACTATTTTAGAGAGGAAAGGGAGCCAGTGAAAGCCCCCACTCACCCACCTTGCTTCTCTTTCAGAAGAGAAGGGAGTTCACATTTATGGAAAATACAGCTTGGTGAGTGGCCATGCTAGGCATGTCCTGATTGTAGCTCCCTGGCAATCTGGCAGTGCATGGGCTAACACTTCCAGATGAGGCATCTGGGACAAGGTGTGGTTCAGTAACCATCAGTGACACAGATAGGACATGGCACTGTTTCTTGTTAATTCCAAAGGGCTTCCTGCAATGTTTCCTAAGCCCTGACCAGCTCTCTCTGCTTACTCAAGGCTCCTGTTCACTCCTGTCTCCAGCTTCTGCCATGAGAGTTAGTCTGTCTCGTGTGGGCTTGCTGGCTCCTCTGATACCCCAACCTTTCGGATCCATTCTCACTGCGTGTTTATAGCACAGTCTCTCGTTTTCTCAATTCCAGATTCTCAAAGAAGGATCTTAATTGAGTCAGGTTCATTTTTGGTTTTATTTCTCTCAAGTTAGAGTGGGCCATGGGTCAGATGCCACTCCAAGCATAGACTCTCCTTTAGCTGTCCTATGTAGCTCTTGCCTCAGGACCAATCAGTGGAGGCTAATGCCAACTCACGGCATGAGAGAGGTTCTCAGAGTACCTGAGCTTGGGTTGGCCATTTCCCTTTCAAGGGAAGGTAAACACACAGTATCCCATACATCTGCCCACCTTCATATGGCCTAGTTGGAGGAAGGCTGGCCTTTCTGAACAAAGAACTCACAGAGCGAAGCCTCCAAGATCTCCACAGCTGCCCTGAGAGCAGGACACAGCAGGAACACCACCATGTGGTTATCATTTCATGATCCCCGGTTGAAAAGAAGCCAAGATGTATGCCAGGTGACCACCCAGACCCTTAGCAGTTTCTTACCATGGGGTGGACCCTACTCAACAGAGCATCAGTTGGACAAGCCACCTTTCCTTCCCACAAAGAAGAGATGCTCTGTGAGCACCAGCCATTGCTTGACCTTCTCCTCCACATGAGGCAGTCAAAGGTCTCATTTCCCCCAGACAGGGCTAATCCTGAGTCCTCTTCAGAAATATCCTTCCTGTGAACAAAGACTGCCTTTAAAGGCAGCTTTACCAGCTTGCACTGAGATATGGACAAGGTAAGTACCTGTACATTGCATATATAAAGTGTACAATTGGGTGTATTGGTCTACAGAGCATCTGTAAACCATCGCCACGCAAAGATAATGACTGCATCCATCACCCCAAGTTTCCTCAGGACCATTTATGACACCTCCCCCCTGCTTCCCCACCCCATTCTCCTCTCCTGGCGAACTGGTCACTCTGTCACCATGGTTTGCATTTTCTAATGGTTATTTTCTCATATTTTCTAGTATTTTATAATAGTATAGTATTTACTCAATTCTCTCTGGCTTCTTCTCATCAACGCAATTATTTTATTTCCATCTGCTTTGCTGGGTGTGCAACAATAACTCATTTCTTTTTATTGCTAAGTAGTATTCCATAGTATGGCATGCCACAATTTGTTCATCCCATCACCTAATGATGGACATTTGCTTTGCTTTCAATTTTAAATAATTACCAACATAGCTACAGTTAATGTTTGAACCAAGCTTTTATGCTTTTTATTTTCCTTTTTTATTTAAATTTTTTATTTTCTGGAGAATTTCATACGTGAGTACTATATTTATATCATTTCACCCCTCCCCTATCCCTCCAACTCTTTCAATGTCCCCCACTCCCTCGCAAACTCATGACCTCTTTTTAATTATTGTGGTGGTGTGTGTGTGTGTGTGTGTGTGTGTGTGTGTGTGTGTGTGTGTGTGTGTGTATACACTAAGTATATATAACTGAGTCCATTTAGTGTTATATATACCTGTGTCTAGTTAAGGCTAACCACATGGGATTAGATAACCTAATTCAGAGGGCTGATTTATGAAGAAGAGTGAATTTTCCTCTCTCAGTAGCCTTTGGTTACCTACAGCTCTTCATCTAGGGGTGGGACCTTATGAAATTTTCTCCATCCACATCGTCATGTCAACTAGTATTATCACTGTGCAGGTCTTGTTTGGGTGGCCATATGGTTGAGCTTTCATGGGTGCAACTTCCACATCATATATAGAAGACACCTACTTTGTGGCAGGAGTCCCAGTCCTCTGGCCCTTAACAGTCTTTCCACACACACACACACCCCTTCTGCAACATTCCCTATATAGGTTGCATTGTAGCTGTACCCATTGGGGTTAGACACCCCACAATCACTTATTCTCTACATTTAACCAGTGTTTTTAACTTTAAAAATAGTTATTCTTATTTGTGTGTAGAGACGACAGGACAATTTGTAGGAGTAGGTTTGGTTCTCTTCTTCCACTGTGTGAGTTCTAAAAATCATACTCTGGTTGTCAACCCTGGCAGCAGTCTCTCTTACTCACTGAGCCATCTCACTGGCTCACACACACATCTTGTACCTATACATATGTGTGTGTGTGTGTGTGTGTGTGTGTGTGTGTGTGTGTGTGTGTGTTTGCCTTGGGATATTACTTTAAAATGAAATGACACTGGGTAGGTACCATGGTTTTAATGTGTCTCCAAAACTTCATGCCCTGGAAACTGAATCCCCAAGTTTATGATACTGGTCTTAGGAGGTAGAATATTTGGGAGATGATTGGGATGAGATGAGGTCATAAGTGTGGGACCATCATGATGTTACCAGTGACTTTATAAAAGACAAAATTCACCTGGTCTAGCAAACCACTATCTCACCATGTGATGCCCTTTTCCATTTTGCAACACAGCAGAAAGCCCCTCTTAGATGGTAAGAATATTCCAGTACCATGCTCAGAGAATTCCTAGCCTTTGAGACCATGAGTCAAATAAGCCTCTCTTCTGTATAAAGTGCTCGATCTCGGGTGTTTCATTATAGCAGTGTAAAATAGACTAAGAAGGCAAACCTGATCAATCAGAAAAGTTCTAACATATCCTTCATAGGAGCCCAGTGTGTCTATGTTGCACATATTTAAAGATATGCCCAGACCACATGTGAACCAATGATATGCACACACTCACTCACAAGGAGACCAAATCAGCTGTAGTTGGCTTCATACCAGTCCAAGAAAACATGTGGGAAAAGCTACCAGAAAGAGGAAAACCTCTGCATGAACTTGATTATTAAAATGCTCAATGCACAAACTCCCAATAACATGAATGCTTTAGAAATGGCTCAGAGAGAACTATGTAACCTGTCTTTAAATAATGACAGCATCTCACTGGTTTTGCATAGAACAACAATGGTCAATACCAAAACCTTCCCATGAAACAAAGGATGGCAAAAGTTCTCCAAAGGCAAAAGTTCCATTGAAATGGAAACATAAAAGAAATTCACATGTCCCCAAGCCAGACCAACTGAGAAGAAACTGAGTTTCCCATCATCTGAATTTGAACTACGCCTCTGGACAATTCTGCTACATGATCTGGCCTAAGAACCACTGACCTTGAATATCTTTCATGTCCTTCAACTTTTCTCACTTGAATCCATCAAAGGATTACACTATGCCAGGAATACCATTACATTATTGCCAGGTTCCATGCACAGAGCTGTGGGGATCAACTTCTCAGGTGATCTCAGGTGGGGATCACCCTTAAGACCGAGTTAAGTTCTCCTCCTGGAACCAAGTTACCACACATAGTGCCCATATGCTCACTTCTTTCTCCCAAAGTTCCAAACTACTAAAAAAGCTCTATATTTTTAATATATGTATAATATATATAATAATGATCAGCATTAAAATCCAAACAAAACCATCCATTCAGCTCCACATGGCCCTCACCTTGACATATCAAATGCAGCAGAATTTCTAGGCAGTCTTATTAAATAAAAAACACAGAGCCAAATACAGGGGTGAAAGCCTTAGAGATCAGGGAAATAGTGAGAGACACACACCAACCAACCCTACCTCACCAGCTCTGCAGCTTCCACCTCAAGCAAAGAATAAACACAGCTAAGAAAACGAAAGGACAAAGGTTTTAGGTGTTGCACTCCAACACTTTTTACTGTCCCAGAACCCAGCAAATGTACACACATCAGCAGGAAATCAATCGAACTTGAATAGGAAGAATTTGAGTAAAAATATTGGCTATTGTTTCCTTTAATCTTCAGTTTAAACATGATTGCCACTCAACATTATAAGATGCCAGAAGTCTTTATCTTGCCTGGGTATTCTGCATGCTTAAAATTTGCCCCAGTCTCTGAAGATCCTCTCTAGCTTCTGGCTAAGGAAAACTTTGCCTCTCACTTTGAACTTGCCAGCCAGGAAAGCCTTCTGTGGGTTCATCTTACCCACAGCTAACTCCATGAAGACAGAGTCAGGGATGATGAAGACAGTGTCTGCTGGAAGCCGGGCAGATCCCAGGTATGTGTCCCCAGAACCATTCTTGAGGTCAATGGTCCACTGCAGAACAGTCTTCCCGTCTTTGGTGATGTCCAGCTGAAAGATGGCATTCACTTTCTTTACCAGTTGGGCTCCTACTTCTTTGATGTGATGGCTAATGTCCTCAAACATGGAGAAGCCCTGGAAGTCTGACAGTTCTAGAGGGTGTGGCAGTGCCGTCTCTGTGGCCGATCCTAGAGCCAGAGAATGGCAAGTCTGAGGCCTATCCCCAGCTTTGATCTTGGCTTGAGGATCAGTTCTCTTCCACATCTTACTACGGTCCTCTTGACCTTGCCGTCTGGTCTATGAGTGGCTGTGGCCAGATTAATGTTTGTAGGTCAGATTGTGACATCAAAGGCAAGGCTCAAGCAGGGACTGAAGCTAGAGTGTGTGCTGCAATCTTATTGGCCAAACAAATCCTAAAATATGACATAGGGTGGGGGCTCAGACAAGTAATTGTGAGGCAGAAATATCTCATACCCTCACACACACACACAGTACCACCACCACCACACCCGATCAACTAGAACTTCTGAGGCCACTAGGCCAAAGGTCTGAACTCTTCAGGTGGGACTTGGTATAATATTTAAGGGTCCAGCCTTAATATTACACAATTCCAGGAGAGACACTACCATCGGCGCGGGAATGAATCCAGTTGCACGGAGCTCCTTCATACAATTCGTTTATTCGTCAGTCATCATCATTCAGTCATCCGTTCAGCTCTCTCATTTCATTCCCTTGGTTCCCTTGGTTTCCACCTCCTTCTCTCAGAACTGGTCTCTATCCTCTCCCAAGCAGCAACACCTCATGTTTTGTGTACGACGCGAGATTGTATGGTCCCCACCAGAGGCTTCCTGGCCATTTTATTTGCAACCCCAAAGGGCAGAGATAAGAGTGGAGTCAGTTAGCAGTTGGAATAAATCAGAAAAGGAACGCATGTGCTAGAAATAGATCCTCACTGTGGTTGGGTGAAGGCATGACAAGTCTAACGTAAATGTGTTCCGCTATAGACTTACGGGTGATAGGGTAGGGACAGTCTGTAGGTCACTAAAAGTTAAAGTGGTCACTTTTTCCCCTCTGCCACCAGTTTCCTGACAGGGTGGGGAATGAGTACTGACAGTGAGTCACTCTGCATCACAGCTTGAAGCGCCTGCTGAGAGGAAAATCCCTTTGATCTAAGAAGTTGGGGGGGGGGTTGATTTGCACAAGAAACAAAGCTTGTTCATCTAGTGGGCAGGCCTAGTGGGCAGGCACTTGGCCTGTGAGACAGGTTGTCTCAGAAAGGACATTTTACCTTAGTTGGGGGGCAGCGGGGGGGGGGGGGCGGTTCAAGCTTCTAACAGATGGCCTGGTAGCTATCTGCTCCTTGTTTGTCTTTTAAGGCTTTGTTTGGGGTTAACTCTATCTTGGGAAGTAGCTCAGGGAGGGTATTTGCAAAAGGCAGATACCCAAAACAAATGCTAAAGAGGGGCCTGGAGCTCAGTGGAAGAAGGTTCTGTACACATGACTTTCCAGGTACTTTGAAATAGAGGTTCACACACACATACATATTTTAGGAGAATTACGAGCACAAGGAGTTCATAGCAAGGCACAACTGAATATTAAGCTGCATAACACCAATAGCCCCTACTAATTGGCTTCCCACTTGACTGACCCTTGGTCTGGTCAAGGTACAGCTTATAATATACAGCTGGACTTCTATTTCATATTCCTGTGGCTTGCCACAAGGTGAGGATCAGGAAACCTGGCCCCAGATTGCTCTTTAGTGACATGAACAACTATATCTTTCCAAAGCAGACTTCTCCCAGGTTTCAGCCCTGGTGAGATTTTTGAGTCCTTTAAAAGTACATAATTCCTAAATCACAAATGCTGGTGGTAGATTTGTTTTATCAGGCTACTAGTAGAGGGGAAAATAGAGAAAAAAGAGGGAGAAGCAAAGAGGGAAAGATACCCTGGGATGCTCCCTGGGTCCTAGCAGGACAGTAAAGAGATAAGGAATTGAGCAAAAGAAGACATGAGAAAGAAGCAGCTCCTCCCAACAGCAGAAATCCAATTATCAAGCCCCAAAAAAAGGGATGAGAACAGAGAACACATCAAATGGCCACTTGGCACCATCACACAGTTCCAAGTGTGGGCCAAATGTAGATGCAAAGAGGAACAGGCAAAGCATGACATTTGAAAAATCTCAAATTATTTACATATACTATTTATAAAGAGAAAAAAAAACTCAGGGGATGGGGAGATGGCTCCATCAGTCAAACCACTTGCTGAGAAAGCATGAGGACCTGAATTTGACTCTCCAACACTCACAGAAGCAAGACATAAGCTTCACATGTCCATAGCCCCACCATTGCAGGCTGGAGACAGGCAGGTCCCAGGCACTCGCTGACCACCAGCCTAACTGAAGTGGTGAGCTTTGGGATCAGTGAGAAAACCTACCTCAAGACAATAAGGTGGAGAATGATGAAGATACCCAATGTCTTCCTGTTAGTGCGGCATGTGCTCACAGGCACTGTACCTTCACACTCATGTGCATGCACCAGACACACACACACACACACACACACACACACACACACGCACGCACGCACGCACGCACGCATACAAAACAAAAACAAAACAGAACAAAACAAACAAACAAAAAACCAGCAGCAACAACAACCACCCAGCAACTTTAACAGAAACAATTTTAACCAAACGGTCAAGGTTAATGCCAGCAGAAAAATGACCTAACATCATGTACATCTGATATGTTGCCCTAGGGAGGACACATGATCACCCATGTACATAACCAAGAAAATTTATAAGCTCAATATAACTATGGGAAAACATTAGACAGATCTCAACAAAAGACACTTTTGTAATTAGCAGGTACTTCTCCAATATGTCAAGGTCATGATAGAAAAAACTGAAGAATTGTTACAGATTTCAGAGTACTAGGGTAATACACAACCAAAATTAATATGAAAATCTGGGCCAGAATCTGAACTCTGCATCAGAATATGGGTATAAGTGGGTGAATAGGCAAAACTCACATATTGGTTCTAGTTCAATTAGCAATGTCAAGAAATTCTCAATGTTAATTTCTTAGATTGGATCCTCACGCTGTAGGTATGTGAGATGCTAACACTGGGGAAGCTCGATGCCAGATCTGCAGACATTATTTTTGCCAAGGATTCTAGAGTCATTTTGCCTCTGTTCAAACCTGGCCACATTACTAGCTTGCCTAGCTTCTTGTTTACTGATTTCTACAAGTTTTCTTATCCATTAAACTGCAGTAAAAGAGTACCTAGCTCAGAGGTTGTAGTGAAAATTACATGTGCGAAAGCATGTAGAATGCTTAGAATTCATCACAAGGGCTCAGAGCAGAGGCTGTGGTGACATATCCCATTTCTTAGACTATCATTTCGTTACAATAGCCCAAGAAAGCAAACACACTCCACATACACATCTGGCTTGGTGTAGGGGGAATTGATGCGTTTGTTTTAGCTAGTCTAATAGGTATGTAGCCCACATGTCTTTTAATTCTAAGACAGACAACTGTGACAGAAAGCCTATTCAGAGGTATGGGGAACAACTTTGCTATGTTAGATATAGCTTTAGAAAATGACAAGATTGCATGTAGTAGGTGGAATGGTTATCTGAGCAGAATTCTCCCACTCTGTTGAAAGAATGTGCCAGAGCAAATTGCAGGTCTCAACTTTGCACATAGCTAAAACAGTTATTCATCCACAGCCTTGCAATGGCTTTCACGGTATGTGGGGACATGGCCCCACCACTTTGGAGCTGGGCATGGCCTTGAGACCTGCTGTGGGTAGTGGGATGCTTGTGATATCAAATGAGCAGAAGCTTGAAATGTGTCAAGGTGACTGGGCTTGTACACTTGTGCTTTTGTTGTGACCATTAGAATATTGTTTCCTGGGCAGCTGTGAGTACAGGGAAGAGATCCGTGGAGCTGGTCTAGCCCAAATCCAACAGAACCCAACTTTGGTCCGCCAAACAACAATTCCCCTGTTTGCCTGTGAAATACATTCAAGTCCTTTGAAACCTCTGAGCTTTGGAGTTGTTTGTTATTTGGCATTACTGAGGTTCTAGCTGACTTGTGAACAGAAAATATAATCTGAAGCTGCCAACGAGGCTTGGGACCCGGATCTTCAGTCTGGAAACAGACACGTCTTGGGCAATGACAACCAGCCATCTTTCTGCAAGGGAGATATGAATATCCGGCGCCAGAACTCAGCTGAGACAATAGAAAGGTCTTCACCTGAGCCAGGCAACAAACCTAGCTGTTTTTGTTTACACAGTTGCTCCAGGAAAGGTGATTTGTTGACCAGCAGCAGTGGCATCCCTGGGAGCTGCTTAGAAATACAAAATCTCAGGCCCCATCTGAGACCTGCTACAGCAATGTCTGTCTTTAACAAGATCCCTAATGATTCCACAGCTCATTAAAACTTGGCGTAGGTGGATCCATATGCCCACTCACACACCTGCCACAACCTCAGTGGTTTGAAAATGAAAGCAATTTTATATGTCCTGGGGTTAATGTTTACAGATAGCAAGCACACAGTTAGTAATAATATAATACAAACTAAGAAAGCATTTAATTCAAGCATTTTCAGTAGGGTTTGTATTCATTTGTTCTTTTCCTGTACCAGGAATTGAACCCAGGGCCTCACACAAGTGAGACAAGCACCCTACCAACAAGCTATGTCCCCAGCTTTCTTTTTTTAACTTTATACCCTGTAGCCAGGGTAGGTCTTGAATTTCAATCCTCCTGCCTCAGCCTTCTCAGACTTTTTTTATTCTTTAGGGCAGTTTTAGGCTTCAGAAAGTACAGAAAGTTCTCAAATATTCCCTCTTCCTCTTAGCACAAGTTCCTGCTATTTACACCTTGCATTAATGTGGTGCATTTGTTACAACTACTGAACCAATTTTCATATACAATTATTAATTAAAATTCATAATTCCAAGTAGGTTTCTCTCAGTTTCGTACATTCCATGGGATTTTACCAAATGCATAATGTCATGTACTCATCCTTGCAGGATCATGCAGGATACTGTCACAACCCCTTATCTATCCACCCCTCACCACCAACCTAAGAGGACTGCTTACCTTTCTGCTATCAATAGTTTTGCTCCATCTAGAATCTCATATAGTTGTAAACTTACAATATGGAGCCTTTTCAGATTATCTTCTTTTCCTTATAAAAATATACTTATGACGTCTCCTGTGGCTGGAGAGATGGCTTGGCAGCTAAGAAAGCTTGTTACTCTTTCAGATCAAAGTTTAGTTCTTAGCACCCACATCAGGGGGCTCACATCCATCTCTTAGGGGCTCCTCTTCTGGTCTTCACAGGTACACACACGCATACACCCACACACACAGGGAGAGAGGGGGATGGAGAGAGAGGAGGGTATTGATTTTTAAAAACTATAAACATACCCACACATAGACATACACATCACACACATTATTTGGTAATAAAACTTTGAAAGAATTCTCCACCTCTTTTCACATCTTTATAGCTCTTTTTATTATTATTAAATAATCTTCTATCATGTTACCATAGTTTACTCATCCCCTTTTTACCAGTGGTCTAGACCAGGTATTTCCAGGTTCTTGGCTCTTATACAAGAGTGAAACCAAAGTTCACACAGGTTGAAATGTAGTAAGGAACCTTCATTCAAAGCAAAGTGCTGGAACAGGTCAGATAAACTGTCAAGAATAACAGCAGACCACATGAGTAAAGATACTCAAGGACCCTGATTATTGTTTGGGGCTTCTTTTATAAAGTTCAAAACAAGGGAACAGTATTTTCTGGGCACAACTGGGCAGGTGCCCATAGGAATTCACAGAGACTGTGATATGTATGAGGTCTAGTGCTGTGGGATGGTCTGTATGTGCTCTGATTGGTCAATAAATAAAACACTGATTGGCCAGTGGCCAGGCAGGAAGTATAGGTGGGACTAACAGAGAGGAGAATTGAGAGAACAGGAAGGAGGGGGGAGACACTGCCAGCCGCTGCCATGACAAACAGCATGTGAAGATGCCGGTAAGCCATGAGCCATGTGAAAAGGTATAGATTTATAGAAATGGATTAATTTAAGATATAAGAACAGTTAGCAAGAAGCCTGACATGGCCATACAGTTTGTAAACAATATAAGTCTCTGTGTTTACTTGGTTGAGTCTGAGCGGCTGTGGGACTGGCGGGTGATGGAGATTTGTCCTGACTGTGGGCTAGGAAGGAAAACTCTAGCTACAAATGGCACCCAATGTGGGGCAAGAGTTTCCATCTAAAACCTGAGAAAAAAGATAC